CAATTTGAATTAAGGGTGAACCGATAGAGTTGGAATCCTAAAACTTGGATTTAGGATCATTGTGGGGGTGTAGGATTGAGGTATGTAGGATGTTTTGGAAATTGGTACTACTGTGTACTAAATGTGGTACAATTTTAATTGTGGGCGAACAGATAGAGTTGGAATCCTGAAACTTGGTGTTAGGATCACTGTGGGGTTGTAGGATTGGGGTATGTAGGATGTTTTGGAAATTGGTACTACTGTGTACTAAATGTGGTACAATTTTAATTGTGGGCGAACAGATAGAGTTGGAATCCTGAAACTTGGTGTTAGGATCACTGTGGGGTTGTTGGGTTAGGGTAAGTTGGAGGTTTTGGAAATTCATACTACTGTGTGCTAAATTTGGTACAATTTGGATTGTGAGTGAACCGATAGCGTTGGAATTCTGAAACTTGGAATTAGGATCTCTGTGAAGTGTAGGTTTGGGTTAAGTAGGAAGTTTTGGAAATTCATACTACAGTGTACAGTCATTATGGGGGTGTAGGATCGGGGTATGCAGAAAAGAAAAGTACTAAAATATACCAAATATGGTACCCTTTTTATTAGCGAACGGGAAGAGCTAGAATTCTGAAATTTGGAATGTTGGTCACTGATGGAAAGTTAAAATGATGTGCAAAGGGTTTTTGGAAATTCGACCTATAAGTGTACTAAAGGTACTAAACTTTACTGAATTTACTTCCTGTTGTATATATATTGAACATATATAGCATGAATCTTGACATATGAAATGGAATACTGGTTGGGTAGTAGTGTTGATGTACGGAAATAAGTACATTCGTACTTATGTGTATAAAAAGTGTAAAATGGTACTAAATTTCGTACTATTTACATTCAGTTGAGTGTGTAGAGATGGAATCTTGATAATCGGAATTAGCTTTAAAAAATCGTACTTATTTGTATGAAAAGTACTAAATGGTACTAAATTTGGTGGAAGTTGGATTTAGGTGAACAGACAGAGGTGAGTCTTCAAATTGGGAATTAAAATGACTGTTGGAATGTAGGACTGAGGTAGATTATGAAATTCGTACTTATTGGTACGAAAGGTACTATATGGTACTAAATTTAGTACAATTTGGATTTTGCTTGAAAGGATAGAACTGAAAACCTGAAATTTGGAATTAAGATTTCCGTTGAAGATTGAGCTATAGAGACATCTTTGGAAACTCGTATTTATGTGTACGAAAAGTAATAAACGGCACTAGATGGATTTGGGTGAACGGAGAGAGCTGGAAACCCATAATTTGGACTAATGGTTGATGTTTGAATATATAATTGCGATATATAAGCATAGTACCTATGTGTACTAAATAGTACTATATTTCGTACAACTTGATTATGTGTGAACGGATAGAGCTGGACTCCCGAATTTTTTAATTAAAATTACTGTTGGAGTGTAAGATTGACATAGTTTAGGAAATTGTTAATTATAGAAACAAAAAGTACTAAATGGGTCCGGAAATCTTACAAATGTGTGAACGGATAGGGCTGTATTCTAAAATTTTGAATTAATATTACAGTTTGAGTGCAGAATTGAGATATGTCGGTAATTTTTTAAAATTCGTCATTATGTGTACTAAATGGTAAAAAAATTGGTACAATTTTGATTCGATTTAACGGATAGAGATAGTAAACGTAAATTTGTAATTAAAATTGCAAGATTAAGGAAGTATTGGAATTTCGTACTTATGGATACGAGAAGACCTAATTGGTACTAAATATGGTACAATTCGTTTTGTGTGAGCGGGAATCCTAATATTTGGACTTAAAAATAATTTGGAACAATTTGGACTTTGGTGGAAGTAAGATTAGGATTGATAGATTGATGTAGTTTTAGAAATTCTTACCTATGAGTATGAGAATTACTAAATGGTACTAAATTTGAAACAATTTGGATTTGGTTGAATCTTGAGATTTGGAACTTAGATTACTGTTGAAGTGTAGTATTGAGCTATGGAGACAACTTTGGAAACTCGAATTTATGTGTACCAATAGTATAGAATAGAAAATTCACTAAACTTGGATAACGGAGAGAGCTGGAAACCTAAAATTTAGAATGTTGGTCATTGACAGAGAGTTAGAAAGAAGGACCAAAGGGTTTTTGGTACTAAATTTAGTGGAGGTGACGGTGTTCGAAAAGTTCTAAATGGATTTCGGAAAATAGTGCTTATGTGTATGAAGAGTAATTAATGCTAATAAACCTGATATTAAATGTAGGAATAGAGGATTCCAGGCTCAATTCAGTACACTATGCCAAATTTCGTGCAAATCGAAAGATATATAGGGACTTTAGTGCACCTTTTACATTAAATCGGACGAAAATGTATATGGGAGCTATATCTAAATCTGAATCGATTTTCACGAAAATTGGTGGACATCATTCCAGGCTCAATTCAGTACACTATGCCAAATTTCGTGCCAATCGAAAGATATATAGGGACTTTGGTGCACCATTTACATAAAATCAAATGAAAATATATATAGTAGCTATATCAAAATCTGAACCGATTTTCAATTTAGTATGTCATGCCAAAGTTCGTGCAAATCGAAAGATATATAGGGACTTTGGTGCACCATTTACATAAAATCAGACGAAAATATATATGGGAGCTATATCTAAATCTGGTCCGATTTTCACGAAACTTGACAGACATCACATTAGGTTCAATTCAGTACGTTATGCCGAATTTCGTGCAAATCGAAAGATATATAGGGACTTTGGTGCACCATTTGCATAAAATCGGTCGAAACTATATATGGGAGCTATATCTAGATCTGGACCGATTTTCACGAAACTTGGCAGACATCACATTAGTTTCAATACAGTACGTTATGCCGTTTACATTAAATCGGACGGCAATATATATGTGAGCTATATCTAAATCTGGATCGACTTATCCCAATTTCTTCCTCACACTGACATATTTTCCGAATATTACGAGTATTCAGTACAGCTATTGTCCAGATTCCTTTCACCGTGGGTTATGTTGTCATGTTCGGCTTTCATTTGTGGTCTATAGATCGACTCGAAAATAACACAAAAAATTAAGTTTTCGGTCCACTTCATTCCAAAATTATTATCTGATCATCACTGAAAATTATAGGCGTTGTCCTTGACCATAACTGGAACCTCATGGAACATTTCAAAGCGATCAGCGCTATAGTTCCGCTCTCTAGAGTGATAATGGGTTACTAAATAAATAATATATACGCTATAGAATACAAATTTTGTCATTTTTCACACAAAAGTCGAGCACATTTGACTAAATATTTGGTATCTCTATCAAAACAGGCATGCTTATTATTTGGCCCGATCCCCTTCTCCTTGCAAATTTTCACGATGTTCGGACCATTATTGCTGCCTCTGGAGCGACCAGAAAAACCGACAAAAATTTAGTGTTTGGTCCATTTCATCCCCTAAATATTAACCGATCTCTCCCAATAGGGGTCTTCATTGGCCAGAACCCATCCTACATGCAAAATTTCGTGAAGATTGGTTCATAACTGTGGCCTGTATCGTGTTTACAAATTATAATGGACAGACGGACGGACGGACACACATGTCTAGATCGACTCAGCTAGTCCAGATATGACGATCGGTATACTTAAAGGTCTAGGACCAATAGGGGTCTTCATTGGCCAGAACCCATCCTACATGCAAATTTTCGTGAAGATTGGTTCATAACTGTGGCCTGTATCGTGTTTACAAATTATAATGGACAGACGGACGGACGGACACACATGTCTAGATCGACTCAGCTAGTCCAGATATGACGATCGGTATACTTAAAGGTCTAGGACCAATATTTCGCGGCGTTACAAACTTTTGGGGCTGCATAAAGCTATAATACCCTGACAACATAGTTGTGTAGGGTACAATAAAACATACGGACGCAAAAATGTAACTTTTTTCATTTCGGAAAATCGTTGAGAGTGGATTGAAGAAATTTGAAGCGTCCCCGCTCACTCCAGGGTGCTTCAAATCGAACCCTTTTATTGTTAGCCCTAGTTTCATTGCTCTTCTTCAAGTTAGATGCGCTTTTTGAGAGCATTTTCCTTAAAGTCTCAAGACCCCAAGCCGTGGGGCGATATTGACAATCCATGGTATGGGGGAATAATTGCATAAAATCCTCAAGATACTGCAATTCACACTTAATATTAAAAATACCGAAAATCGTTAGGTATAATTATAGAGGTTGCAGACCTAAACGCGTGTCTAGACCATAACCTTCAAAACACTGAAATTTTCGGGGTGTCGTTATATGGTGAAATACAGCCCTGTGCAAAATTACAGCACCCTATCTCAATTCATTCAAAAGGTAGCGTGATTACAACATACGGGCGGACATTGCTAGATCGTCTTAGACTTAAACCCTGATTGAGAATATACTTACCTTGTAGGTTCGGAAATAAACATTTCGATGAATTACAAAAGCAATGACAAAATTAATATACCCTCCATACTATGGTGGAGGATATAAAAACGACGAATCGATGAAAATTCGTATGACCAATATATCGATTTGTTCATAGGTTGTTTGGCTTTTCGGGGAAGTGATATAGAAAAAATATTTTCAAAGTGGTGTTAGCGTTATCTTTGATAATAATTTAATTGGATAAACTTTATTCTTGTCATTAATAGCAATAGTTCATTCATTTCTGCAGTGATAAATCTAGTGAATATCGTAAATAAATTCTCCGACTTTAGGTATATTTCTCGAATTTCAATAGACCCCATCATAGAAATACGTTTCATTCTTTGTAGAACTTGTGAGTTTGCAATATACCTTTACATCGGAGTGTATTTACGTCTAAAGAGATATGATCGCGAACTCCCTCACTTGTTACATTTTGTACATGAAAAAACCTTTTCATTCCGGCCATTGAAATCAAACTAGCTTTTCATTTTCGATCAGACAGTCATTTAACAATTTTATTTTCCTTTAAACGAACAAAGACATTGTTTAAGCCCTCCAGTTGGACCATTTCTTAATTTCATTGTACAAATTATTACCGGGACATTCGGTCGAACCGACTTGACGATGACCATACAAAGTGTAATTGGACGAGACATAACCCTGAGACACCAACCAGGCAATCAATTCTTTAGCCTTGGAGATTTGAGCAGCAGTTGGGGTGTAGTTATTGTAATTACCAATGAACATAATGCCATAGGATTTGCTGTTCCAGTTGGTGGCATGAGCACCCATAACACCAGCACCGCGACCTTCATAGATGTTACCATCAGCACCAATGCCATAGTTATAACCGATATCAGCCCAGCCCAAAGAATCCATGTGATAGGATTGCATGTTACGCATCTGGGCACTGCAGGTGGCTTGGGTGTTGCAGTAAGCACCGGCCGAATGATGGATGACCACATAGCTCAAACCTTTGGCCAAATAGCTTTTTGAGGTGGCAGCACGACCACCCCATTGGGATTTGGTAATGATGTTGATGGCAGAAATGCCACTGGTGCCTAGAACGCGCAAAAATCAAACGAACACGTATTAGGAGTTATTAAGCGTGTATGTGAGAAGTCGGATTAGAAAAATATATCGCTTTCCGATTTTGTAACTTACAGCAGAGTACAGCCAAGAGAGCAAAGAAAGCCTTCATTGTTGTGTTGTGCGGTTAAAGACTATAATTTAACTGATGATTCGTTTTCCATCGAATCAACCTTTAAATACTAATCGCTTTCTTCGAGTGACGTTTTTGTTACTATATATTTTTTTAAAAAGAAAAAAATATTGATAATATTAAAAATGCCTTCGCCCTATTGCTTTTGTTTTCTATTTGTTGGGGTTTACTTCAATTAGCCTGGCACACAATTTCGTACATATTATCGGCTCCCCCCAATATAAGTGCGAACTTTGCAAATAATACTCTTACTATCTCTGAAGATAGTTGTTATAGCTGGGCCAATAGATAAAACAAATTAATAATTTGCCATTTTATCCCATTATCAATGGAGAGACACGAGTTGCTCTATTATTACTTTTTGGTGATAACAGTTTGAAGCACTTCTAGGGAGATTTCTATCTATATAATTTAAATTTAAAATACCGTTAATAAGTTGGCAAAGGTATTTATGCAAAATTACCGACTATTCTAGAAATTGATTATTTATAATAATTGATTATTAATTGGTTTGATGGTCCTAAGGAAGAGATCTGTTTTATTCGATCTAAATCAGCTGTGAAATGTAAATAGAATCGGTAATATAATAACAATTCGCAATCTCTTCGACTTTAAGATGTAGAACACGCTCATTATCGGTCTCAAAAAATCGATATCTTTTTAATGGTCTTAATATATTGGGAACATGTTTTTAAGATTTGTGATATGTATAGAATTAATATTAAGGCTTACACCACTCGCTCAATGTGATATACTAACTTAACCACTGAACCTAGCCCATGTTAAGTTCTTTTCAATTGGCTTTATAAAGACACTCCCATTTAAAATTGGAATTATAAAGTCAACTAGGTCTGTATTGAGACTACGGGTGTACATAAAAACCAATTGGTCTGTATGGAGGCCGATTGGAGGTGTATAGAAACCAAAGGTCTTTATAGAATCCACAGGTATGAATAAAGACTAATTGTTCTCTATATATAACACATGGACTTATATAGCCCAATTGGTCTGTATAGAGACCATTATAAGTTATAAAGATCAATTGGTATGTAATCGAACTGATTGGAAGTGCGTAGATACCACATGTCTCCAGAGAGAACATAGGTCTGTAGATGTAAAAACTAGGATTCGCTTTAGTTTGTATGTATATAGATATCATAAAGTTGTAAAACAAATTTTGAAATTAGTGGAGCAGAAAAAACAGTTTAAAAAAGGTTAGCTCTATTTTTTTTATTTGAGTGGTGAAAAGTGTGTTATTTAAGGAATAAAAAAAATTGCTGCGGAGTCCTGCGGTCCTAAGTTATTTAACTTTTTTGGTGACCACCTTATGAAAAAATATGGCATATTCACGAAATGGTTAGAAGCGAATGGTCAAATATGTTATGTATACAATTGAATAAGTTATTGAGGTTCAAATAGGAAGGAGAAAATGGATTCAGAACATAGTAATAATGTAACATTTTACATAAAATATGCAATTAAGTGGTAAAAACGTTATTCGAAGCGGATATATGGGAGAATAGGTTTTAAAATATAGCTTTTAAATAAGTTTTCAGTCAGTTTGAAGATTATACTTATTTATCAGATCATTTGAGACATAATCTTATTATCTTAATTTAGAGGTCTCAAATGAATTACCTTTGTGGAAAGTTCATACAGAAAAATATTAGTTCATGGCATGGGATACGCAAAGTGCAGTCCAATACCTTTTGAGCGACTTTCACAAGAAGCTAACAACTCATACCAACAAATAATTAGTAGCAGCGCGAACAAATTTGATGTAATTTGGACGAAGACATGAAAATTTTCGTGGAATTTGGATGAATATAAACAATTTATATGTCCAAAAATCGGATTTTCAAGACCCTTTGTATGGGAGGTATATCAAATCTTGGTCCGGTCTACCCAGTTTTTGGTCCGTTGCTTTATAGGCATAAGTAAATGTAAATTGCCAATTTTCATTGAATTTGTTTGAATATTAAAGATTTTATAGGCCAAAAAGGGTGACATTCTCAAGACCCATTATATGGGTGGTATACCAAATCTTGGTCCGACCTATCCAATTTGGTCCGACCTATCCAATTTGGTCCGACCTATCCAATTTGGTCCGACCTATCCAATTTGGTCCGACCTATCCAATTTGGTCCGACCTATCCAATTTGTCAGTTTTCATTGAATTTGGTTGAATATTAAAGATTTTATAGCCCAAAATAGTAAAATTGTCAAGACCCTTTGTATGGGAGGTATATCAAATCTTGGTCCGATCTACCCAGTTTTTGGTCAGTTGCTTTATAGGCCCTATTAAATGTAAATTGCCAATTTTCATTCAATTTGTTTGAATATTAAAGATTTTATAGGCCAAAAAGGGTGACATTCTCAAGACCCATTATATGGGAGGTATACCAAATCTTGATCCAACCTATCCAATTTGGTCCGACCTATCCAATTTTTCAGTTGCTCTTTAGGCCAATAATAAGCACATGTACCAAATTTCATTAACTTACGATAACTCCTTCTATTTTTGGCCGCTGTTTATATGAACTCGCGACATAGTGGGATGTAAGCAAGGGGGACCGGCCCCCTGACATTATTTTTATACCCTTCACCACATTGTGGTACAGGGTATTATATCTTTGTGCATATGTTTGTAACAGGCAAAAGAAAACGAGATAGACACATGGTTCCTTTTGAGAATATGCATAGAATCACTTTTTTGAGTCGATTTATGCATGTCCGTCCGTCCGTCTGTAGATGTTAAATTGTAAACAAAGTACAGGTCGCATTTATGATCCGATTTGGATTTTGGCATAAGTCACTTATTTGGCCCAAGGACGAACCCTATTGGGAAAAATCGGTTCAGATTTAGATATAGCTCCCATATATATTTTCGTCCGATTTAAGGTAAATCGGGCACCAAAGTCCCTCTATATCTTTCGATTTGCATGAAATTTGGTACAGAGTACTGAATTAGGTCCAGAATGTTGTAAGCATGTCCGTCTGCCCCTCTGTTGTAATCACTTTAGTGTCTAAACGAATTGAGATATATCGCCAAAATTTTGCATAGAGTCTATTGTCTGCAGGCAGGTCAAATTCGAAGATGGGCTATATCGGTCCACCGAATTGGATGAAATTTGGCACAGCTAGTCTATTTGACCCAAGGACAAACCCTATTGAAATTGGGAAAAACCGGTTCAGATTTAGATATAGCTCCCATATATATTTTCGTCCGATTTAAGGTAAATGGCGCACCAAAGTCCCTATATATATTTCGATTTGCACGAAATTTGGCATAGCGTACAGAATTGAGTTTAAAATTATGTGTGTAAAATTTATTGAAAATCGGTTTAGATTTAGATATAGCTCCCATATATATTTTCGTTCGATTTCATGTAAATGGTGTACCAAAGTCCCTATAAATTTTCGATTTGCACGAAATTTGGCAAAGCGTACAGAATTGAGTCTAGAATGATGGTTGTAAAATTTCTGGAAAATCGGTTCAGATTTTTACATATGTTCACCAAAGTCCCTATATATATTTCAATTTCCATGAAATTTGGCCCACATCATTCTGTTCTAGAATGATACGTGAAAATCGGTTCCGATTTAGACATAGCTCCCATATATATGTTCGTTCGATTTCATGTAAATGGTGTACCAAAGTCCCTATATACCTTCCGATTTGCACGAAATTTGGCACAGCGTCCTGACTTGAGTCTAGAATGATGTGTGTAGGAATAGGAAGGAGAAAATGGATTCAGAACATAGTAATAATGTAACATTTTACATAAAATATGCAGATTTTTACATATGTTCACCAAAGTCCCTATATATATTTCAATTTCCATGAAATTTGGCCCACATCATTCTGACTTAAGTCTAGAATGATGTGGGCCAAATTTCGTGAAAATCGGTTCCGATTTAGACATAGCTCCCATATATATGTTCGTTCGATTTCATGTAAATGGTGTACCAAAGTCCCTATATATCTTCCGATTTGCACGAAATTTGGCACAGCGTCCTGACTTGAGTCTAGAATGATGTGTGTAAAATTTCTTGAAAATCGGTTCAGATTTAGATATAGCTCCCATATATATTTTTTGACCGATTTAATGTAAAGGTTTCGCCGAAGTCTCTATATATATTTTGATTTCCACGAAATTTGGCATAGCGTACTGACTTGAGTCTAGAATGATGTGTGTTGAATTTCGTGAAAATCGATTCAGATTTAGATATAGCTCCTATATATATTTTCCCCCGATTGGTGCACCAAAGTCCCTATATATCTTTCGATTTGGACGAAATTTGGCATAGCGTACTGAATTACGTCTGAATTAAGAAAGTTTCATGAAAATTGGTGCAGATTTAGATATAGCTCCCATATATTTTTGCCTGATTTAATTTTACTTTTTAATTTTGAACGAAATTTAGATATAGCTCCCATATATATTATCTTCCAATATTAAATAAATGGTGCACCATAGACTCATAGTAAGGCCGATTGACACAAAATTTTGCACAACGTACTTAAGATAGTATAGTTTTATAGTCAAGTTTTGTTGGAATCCGTCCAGATTTAGATATAGCTCCCGTATAGTTTCGTCCGATTTTATGTGGGACCCAAGGACCCAAAATATGTTCATTTGGAACAAAACGTTCATAAATTAGTCCATATATATTTTCATCATATTTTAAGTAAATGGTGCACCAAACTCTTCATGTTTTTCAGAATAGAATGACGTAATTGCGTGTTACTTGGGCTCTAAATATCCAACGGGTTCGCGATTGATATTTACTTTAAATCCGTTTACAGGATTTGATCCCATTGTAACAAACGAATCACATGTTTATGGATTGATCTAAGTCGGTTCACATTTAGATAAAGGTCATATATTTTAGTTCATCCAATTTCATGTTAATAACCTTTTTAATATACCCATAGTGGTGAAGGGTATCATATTGTCGGTCCCGTCCGACTGTACTACTTT